ATTTGCTTCTCCTGGGAATGGAGGGCTGGTATCCTGTGACCACTGGAGCCTGGCAGCTGGGCTGCCTCTGGGCTGTCTGCTGGCAGGAGGCAGTTGTTTCTCTTCCTCTCAGCCAAACAGTCCATAGAGGCCCACGCTGCCTTTGCTTCCCACTTCAGAAGGAAAATGTGACCCAACGTAGGCAGATCATTGATTTGACAAGCATTCTAAACGTGAGGTAAACATATCTGAGGTAAACATAAACATATATGTTGGGGAGACATTCAGCTAGGACTTAGGCTTGTTAAATTAAAAAACCCCTGTATTTATAAACAAAAAATAGCATCAGACACTGATTTTGTCAATGTGTCTTGTCACCTGTCTGGCTTCATTTTATAGGACAAAACACTAGCCTGGGAGTTGTAACGTGAGATGCTCATGAGGGCCAGACACAGAGCAAAAATAGCCTAGAAAGACAGTTGTAAAATTACTAGGAGTGGCGAAGCCTGGGACAAAGTAGAGAGCTTATACACAGCCAACTCTGGGCAGGCACCGCCATGTGGGAATCAGAGACCAGTATCTGCACAACTTCCAGTTATTCAAGAGAAGCTTGAAATTTGGACTTTTCCGTGGAAGGTCCAGATGTAACAGCACACTCTGCTGATTGGACAAAGCTTACCTAATGCCAATTTACTAATACATGAGACTAAAACTTTGTGTGTACAGGGACCCTTGTCTGTCTGGCTTGTGATGCTCACTGAGACTCTACTCCTCTGCCTGTGCATTGAAGCTTTCAGCAACTATTTGTTAAACGCCACTTAGTAGGAGAAGTGAAAACTGGGGTTTTGGCGAGGGAATGACAGTTTGAATTCTTCCCTGAGAACTTTGCGTTGGGCATGTGAAGCCCCTTGGTGCTTGATTGGCCTTTGTGACTGTCTGTGTCTGTCCTTTAAGCTTTAGGCAACGGAAACCAGTTTCCTGATCAGGAAAGTGGAGGTAGTTAACTCCTTTGGGAAAAGGCAACATAGGACTTAAAAACAATAAAAAAAAAAAGAAAGAAAGAAAGTCATTTGGCTTATTTAAAAACTTACTGTAGAGACAAGGTGTGTTTAGTGTGGTGGTACAGATGAATAATGAACACAGGAGATTTGGGAGTTTTTAATAGTTAATAACATTTATAAGTGATATTCGGGAAAACATGACGCATAAGGAGCATTGTGATAATACTCTGCGTCACCATCACAGACAGAATAATGGATGTTGTATGTGTGTATGCTGGGGGACCATTTATCACACAAGCACACATGGCACTAGACGTTGCATGTGTGTGTATCCTGAAGGGTGTTTTGCTTTCTCATCTCTGCATCTGCTTCTCTTCTGTGTGGAGCTCTGAGTTACAACTGGTGTGTGAACAGATGGAAGAGCTGCCCATTTCTACAAAGAATTGCATTTCCTGAGCCCTGTTGCTGAACGGTGTAAGAGTGTCAGATCCAAAGTCTCAGCCAGAGTAATTTCATTGTCAAGGTTCCACCCTTCCATCTTTCCTGTTCCTCACTTAGGAAACAGTGACAAAGGGCACAGTACCCCTGGAATACAACTGCTGACAAGACAGACAATGGTGAATGATAGGGTGGCAGAGAGTGGCCTTGCTGGGCCATGTGCTTTTCTGGTTCCCTGTTACCCTTGTTTTTTGCTTAGTCACATATCTCAAACAGTGGCCTTCTAAATGGGACTTTTCTACCTGATGCAACTCAAGACTTCCCAGTCCAAATTAATAACATTAGCAGCTGACTTTCATTTGTTACTAACTCTCTGCTAAGTATTTCCCATGCAGCCTCTCATTCCATTTGTTCATCAACTCTTTCTTTTGTCAACCAGGAAAGTCTTGAAAGGGCCGAGTGATTGTCATGTAAGAGTTTTACAATTTACTAATGGAATTATCAGGCAGTTTCTCTGCACTCTGCGTGCCTGTCCACACTGGGTTGACATGTTGTTTCTTTTACCTGTTTTCATACTGCAGTAACATGTGAATTCCCAGAGCCACAAGCACATGTGCCTTTCTCTATCCATATAAACTTAAAATAACACTACCTAACACGAGTAGGTAGATAGTGGGCATTTAACAGATTTTGGAGATTCTTTGTAATGATGTTTATGGTTATTGAACTCATGAGAGTGAAAAGAATCCAGTCTTACTAGACTAGAAGTATCTCACAATCAGCTACCAGTTATTCAGGCAGTAGCTTTTATCTACTTAGCCTTGTACTAAGCTGACGGGTACAGAAGAAGTAAAAGACATGCCTTCTGCTCTTGAGGAGCCACTCATTGACTCTTAGAGCTGGGTAAGAAAGCCCTTGATCAGGATCTGTGACTTAGAAGGCTACCCATAACTCTCTTTTGGACATATGTTCCCTATCCCATTGCAAGGAATCTGAGTCTGGAAGCTATCTTCTCCTTCTTCTAAAGCATGTTCCAAGTATCTGAGTTTCCAGAGTCTCCTACTTGAAAGTCCCCAAGCTCACTCCCAGGGTCCGTGCGTGTGTCTTCTAGGGTGTGGCATTGGAGGACAGAGCAGAGCTCAGCATGTACCCCCAGCCCTGAGGGTGGCCACAGGTAGCTGCTTGCAGGCTAGAGGGTAGGTGGAGCTTAGGGGTGTAGGCTGGGGTATCCACCTGGAGTGGATGAGAACCTCTTTGGTGTGGGAGGGAGTAGCAGGGAAGAAAAGGTGGCAGAGCTCTTCGGGCTGCCAGATTTCAACATGGGACCCCAGGGAGAAGTTGAATCCTAAATTCAAGGCTGGGCTTCCAAAGTATTTTGAAGCCACATTTGTCCAGGTAGAGGGGTATGACTGTTGTTTAAGAGCTTATCAGACTTTAAATCTTTATATTTGTAGACCTATTATAGGAGGGGGTCCTCCATTTTAAGTTCTTGTTCCAGACTCTACAAAGTTAGTTAAGGCAACTCTACTAAGTCTTCCAGTCCTTGGGAAGGGGAGTGTGTGGCTCTGTAAACAACCTTTGAAATTGGTGGGGCGTTCGTATACTAGCCCGGCTGCTGGGGAAGTGCTAAGCACATCTCTATTAACAAATACCCATTGCCTTGTTTCCTTACCTAAAACACTTTAGAGTATTTTGCTCCAGCTGAGTGGCTCTAAATCCATAAATGCATAATCAGCTGACAGCAATTTCAAAATTGCAGGTCTGACTGTTGATGGAAAAATGGGAGCCTTGTTATTCCTTGTGTGTAATTTTCACCCAGAAATGGGGGACTGGATTTAATGTCAACACTTAGCGATTTAATGTAGCCCTAGTACTGAAAAAATACACCTTTAGCCAAATCCCAGCTCACAACAATGACTGCATTGTTTTCTCCTCTTCACCACTTTCCACTTTTGAGAAGAACAGAGGGTATGAGAAAAGGTTCAGCTCATAACAGGGTTGACCCTGCCTTCCTTCTCCATTTGCTCCACAGCTGGCCCTCCTTAATCAGCAGGGAACGGCTGCTCTGCTGCGTCCAGGCACTCAGCGGGAAGAAGAATAGGGCTGAGCAGATTCCCCAGCTCCAGGCCCCGCCCAGTGGGGAGTAGGGTCTTTTTGAGCATCTGATCGCTGCGGGGGGCCCCCTGTCCAATTTGCCCTTACCAGCTCCAAAAGGCTCTGTGGCGTGTATTTCTAATGAAAAGAAATTCAATTTGATTTATGTTGAAAACACAGGGAGGATGTCAGGCCACCCTTTGAGGTGGCTAATTGGTGATACTTCATGAGGCTCATAGAAATCAAGGTGGCTGAATCTCTGGGGACGAGCAGGAAAACCAAGACTTATTGGAAAATTGGCTTCAGCCATATAAACCTCTTCGAGGTATTATTAATCTTAAATCACATTCAATAGTAGTAATGAATCAAGCATATGGTTTCAACTTTCCTCACTCAACTGGCCATCTTTCTTCTCTGGAGAGCAATGGATAGAATCTACACAAACGTAAGAACCAGATTTAAATGTTTATTGCTCCAAACACCACCATACCCCCTCTTCCTTATGCCAACCATAAACAAAGAGAAGTGGTCAACAGTTTCAGACTCTATTTTTGGCTTCATAGTGAGACTTTCTGAGGCCAGTTCCATCCTTGGCTCTCCTGCCACTGTGGTGACAACACTTCTCAGAGGACACGGAGGATTCCTTCTGATGTTTGTCTCTTCCAAGAAGTGGTGTTCAGAGGTCAAGATGCACCTGTAAACGACTGTAATTGCATCTGTCCTGTTCTCCTTAGCAGGAGCTGCAGAAGAATCCATCAGTGGAGGGTTCCCAGGGACACCTCCAGCAGCCAGGTTGGGGGGTAGATGTCAAGGGTCTTACAGGTTCTGGTGCTCAGGCCCAGGTTCTGGGGCAAGGATGCAGATGTGGACCAGCATGGGGTTCATCCCAGCTGGCCTTGTCAACCCTTTGGGCTCAGGAAGAACATTCTCAAGGCAAGGTGTCCAGTTATTCTTATGTTTCTTGACTCTCTGAGGGGAATGGGAGAGTAATACTGATGGCCTGGGCCCAGCTTTCAGGGTGGGGAGAACAGATCTTGCTCTAGAGACCCACACCTGCAGCTTTTAGCCTGGAAACACCGAAATGTTCTGTGTGGCAGGCAGGGCCCGGAGCATAGGGCTGGTGGGCACACGTGTGTGGTGGCCCAGGGAGGCTGAGGGTGCGTCTGCACGTGTGTGGCTGAGAGGGACAGTGACCTCCCTGGTTCTGCATCTTTCCATCCCTGCAGCTCCACTTGCTTTCAGGAGATTGGCGGGGGCGGGGGCCATGCACTTTCTTCCAGAGCAGTGGTGGTGAACCTATCTATGGCAGGCGAGCCGCAGCCGGTGGTTTGTTATCATTGAAAGCTCTAAAAGGCTCGCCATCACTGTGTCAGAGCCTCCCGAACTCAGGTGCTTCTCATCCAGCAGGGGCTGGTGTTGCCGCACCCTGGAGGGAACCCTGAACCTGTGTGCATCTGTTCTCCCCTGACCTCACTTTGTTCTTTGCAGACGGACTGTGCCCTATGGACTGTCCAACTACAGAGGAAGCTTCCGGGGCAAGAGGTCCTCAGGGCCTTTTCCAGGGAGCTCACAGGCCTCGCTGCAGACCCACTTGCGCTGTGCATGCCTGGGGTCCGACGACAAGGCCTGTGTGCGGTTCTGCACGCAGACGTGGGATGGCCGCAGGTATGGCACCGCTAATCCCCCCGCTTGTTTCCAGGTATGCATTACCCACGGGCCATGCCGCACAATTTGAAAGGCCGGTACAGGAGGACACGGCCAGCGGAGGGAGGGCCTTGATCCCCGAGGCTGAGGTCCTCAGCTCCAGGAGGGTGGGTGCCGTGGCACCTCTGGCTCTTGCTGCCTTTCAGACCCGCATCTGGTCTCCAGACACACTGCTCCTGGCATGAGTGGCACTTTGCATAAATCTGAATAAGTTGCCAACACTTACGGATTGAAGAATCAGCCAACTCGCATGCATTACGTATGGCTTCTTCACGAGACAGCATCTGGGGCTCCCGGTCTCAGTGGCCCGCCTCCTGAGAGGGGCAGGGAGGGTCCACTCCCCTGGGTCATCCAGTGGCCTGCTTCTGCTGCTTTCTAGCTTCATCCCTCAGGGTGAGCCAGCCAACCCGAGCTGGCCAGGTGGCGGTCAGCCACTGCCTGCCCACGGCTTCCACTCCTCCCTTTCTTCACTTTGGGCCAAGACTCACAGGCCCAGCCAAGGGCCACTCATCAGTCCTTCCTGGAGCTGGGCTTGGGGTTGAGACTTTCACACACAGCCTGAGCAAGGGGAACCTGGCAGGGCAGTGCCAAGTAGAAAAGCCCAGAGTGAACTGCGTTTTCATTCCTCCTTCTGGGGTTCTTAACATCTGTTGCATAACAGGAGTGACTGTGTGCTCTGCCTCGGCATGCAGCCCCCCGACAAGCACTCAGCCTTCAGAAACTGCCTGAGACGTGGTCCTTCGGGAGCGGGCTAATGCGCTAGTCGGTGGGGAAGAGGAAGTCATGATGTGACACCGAAACCCAGGCGCATGGAAATGCAGCTTGGCTCATTCAAACTGGCTCTCTCCCCACAGTAATTCCAGGACAGCAGAAAACGCAGACAAATAAGAGAAAGGGACAGCCAGCAGGGCCCGTCTTGGGCTGCAGCAAAGGTAAAGACGGGGCATATTCCCCAAGTGGGGTGTGGGGGGTGGTGTCTGGTCTTCGTGGCCAGTGGGGCCCCACACTCATGTGGCTGCACCCACAGACAGCGGCTCCCGTTGGCCATGAGCGTCAGTGTCGGGCCCTGCCCTGCCAGCCTGCTGTGTGTCCCTCCTTGCTCCTTCAGGCTGAGCCGCCCGGGGCCCCGTTTTGCTTCTGCTTCTGCAGCAGCATGACTTCCCCACCCCATCATTTCTTCTTTGCAGCAGCTGCTTCTGGACAGAGGTGAAGTGTCACAGTTTGGCAGCAGGTCACACTCCCCTCCTTCATTTTATCCCACTGTTACCCGCTTATCCCTTCTGTGTGCGAGATCCGGAGGGTTTCCTGCAGCCAAACTGGGCTTATTTGTCATGCCGTCTGTCAGAAGCGTTATTAATGGCTCACCGGCACACCTGCAATGGGATGGAAATTTATGTTCATAGTAATAGCCTGGAGATGGCTTCAGTTCCTACAGGGACTGATCAAGGGAAGATTAAACCATGCTCGGGATACAGGAGACTTTCCAGATTCGGGGCGGATCACTTCCAGTGGTAGGAGAGGGAACTGTCAGCATCCATAATGAAAATGGATAGGGAGAGGGAGAAGGGCTGAGGGTGCAGGGAGAGCCCAGGAGAGTGAGTCAGGCCCCCGCTGGTCCCCTCTTGGCCTCTTTGTTCTTTTCCCTTCTCTCGTCCCAAACCAGAGCCTCTCTTGGTCAGGGTGGGTATGATTGAAACCATCATCTGGGGCAGTGTCGATCCCTTCAGTGGAGCCGCTGAGCACCTGCTCGGTGCCAGGGACTGTTCTCCCCATTGGGGACACAGAGGAAACAAGGCAGAGGGTCTCCAAGGAGCTTCAGTGGTGGTGGAAGCAGGCAGGAAGCCAATGTGTGTGTTGTGGGTGAGGTGTGCCAAGGACAGGAGAGCAAGGCAGGAAGAAGCATCGGGTGGGTACAGTTTGCAACTAGGGGAACAGCAGCAGTCTGATGGGCCTGGTGACCTTGGCTCCAAAGCCTGAAGGGAGCGAGCCCTGAGGACCAGTGAAGGAGTGGGATTGCAAAGGCCCTGGGGTATGTTCAAGGTTTAGCCAGTAAGGGGTCCCCTGCACAGAAAAAACACACAGATGCTTCTGCTGCTGCCATCCCTGATATTGTGCCGGCTGTCACGCCTTCACAAGATGAGACTGAGGCTGGCGGAGGAAGTGTCATGTTGGGGCTGGGAGGGAGCTCTTCCAGGCCTTTATGAGTCACATCAAGCTCCTTTAGAAAGCCTTCCTTGGGAAGAAAGTCTTTGACGGCGGCTTGCTTGTAAGACTCGAGTTAGTGATGTCCAGAGTCACATTTTCAGAGCAGCAGCTGCTGCTATCCCCAGCGTGGGGCTGTCAGAGATGGAGGGCTCCTTTTCACAGCCTTCCATTCAGATCACAGGCTCTGGTGAGGGGCTGGCGTCAGTCACTCCAGGGAGCGGCTCTCTGTGTGGCGGGGAGCCGCACCTTTCGGCTTGGGGAGCTATTACCTTTTTATAACACCCCTGTTTTCCTTTGTTCTCTTGGATCAAGATAAGCTGGCGTCCAGGACAGACAAGGCCCGTGGGCTGTAGGTGGCCGACGCCGATGCTCCCCGCTGTGGACTTCACCCTGGTCCTCTGTGCCTGCCTGCTCTCTTCCAGCAAGGAGCCATTGCTCACACGCAGTTCAAATTTCCACTTCTTTAGGGACAAGGAATGAACTCGCCTGGGTCAGAAAACCCACCCAGAGAGTCCCCACTTAACAGTTCACTCCTACTCTGAGAATCCCCAAATCTCAATGACCCCAGTTTCCCTAATGGGTAAAACGATCCCAGATGTGCCCTGGGACCAGAAGCCCGAAGCTCCAGTTTCACGCAGGAAATTGTTTCTGGAGAGGTACAGCAAGCCAGAGAGCCACTTACTGGCTTTTGACATGACTGCTCTTGGAGAGTAAGTAGACGCCGAGCTGGCTGTCTGCAAAAGTAAACACATGTCCATCTTGTGTTAGATGCACAGTGCGTGTGTGGCCACAGCAGGCCAGCTTCTCCTCTGCAGGTTGTGAGCTAGTGAGGGGTGTGCTGTCGGCTTCAGGCCCAGGTTGTGGCTGTACAGTAGTTCTTGAGTTTGAAGCGTGTAGTATTTAGATAGAAATTTCAGCTGTGCTTGGTACCCATCAAAGCAGTGTATGCCAAAGAAAAAAGACCAAAGAAGCAAAGGCAGCGCGAAGGCTGTCGTCTTCAGGACGAGAAGAGGAGAGAATATCTGCTGGTTTTGAGCTCGGGTGTGTCGCACAGAGCTTGTACTTTGTCCCTGGACTGGGCCTGTGGGCCTGTGGGTCCTTATAGACACCAGGCCCGTGCACTGTGACAGCCTTGTTTGCAGGAAGCCAGCTATAAAGACAGCCCCCAGCTCAAGGCTATTAGGTTGAATATTTGCTTTCATGAATAAATGTGGATCTTTGGGGAGTGGCTTCAAAATAACCCACAAACACAAACTCTTTATAAATTATGTAAATTCCTATTTATCTATGAAATTGGCAACGTCTGGGAATTGTAACTCCCGATGGTTCTTCTACTGTGCTCTTCTGGCCGAGCTACACTCACAGCGAGTGTGAGGGACTGGGACTCTGCCACCTTTACTGGGCACATGGGGAGTGGCCGCCCACCTCCCCACCTGGTCACAGAGCCATGAGAACCGCCTTGCCTTGGGGCAGTGCCAGGGGGTCTGTATGGGGAAATTTGAGGTGGTACACGATACAACATTGGCCTTAACCAGATGTCAAACTCGGGAGGAGCATTTCAGAAGTTATTATGGGTGTGAAAGTGCGTGCCTGTCATGAGGAAGTGAAAGCAAACTGATTTGCTAGGAGGAGTTTGTACAGTTTAGAGAGGCAATTATTTATTGGGGAGCTGTTCTCTACTTCACTTCCTTTATGGGATCTGTTAAAAGTTAAGTCACTGTATAGATATGGAGAGATTTTAAATTGCCTTCTGAATCCAAACTAATATCCCTTCGAGCTTGAATTACATTTTAAAAATGCATATCCACTGTTTGGCACAGTGGCAAGATAGTATTTCGGAGAGAAATTCATTCGTTGTGCAAACACTCAGAAATTACTAACTGTCAAATGCATAATAAAAAAAATCCAAGAGTTTGCTCTGATTTGTGGTTTTTTTCCTTTCTGTTGTTATATGCATGGCTACACATCAGCTTTTCATGGACCCCCGAAGGGGACAGGAGGGAGTTACAGTTCAGGAACAGAATCCATCTAAAGTCAATTATGGATGGAGATGAGGGGCTGTGTGAATCTGAAGGAAGGAGTGGAGCTTGGGGATCATCTGAAGAAGAAGATAAAACACTGAGGCAGCCAGAAAGAGAGACTTAGGGAGAGGGTTGGTGTCTTCGCCTGCTACCACCCACCAGCAGAAGGACGTAGAGCTTTCTCTCTGGCCTACAGGTATGACAGCGGGCCACAGGACGGCAGGGAGAGAACAGAGCACCTGCGAATTAGTGGCCAGAAGTGACCACGGTGCGGTGTGTTTAAGCCTTTTAAGATGGGAAGACCTTTCCGGGGGTTGAAGGTGAGGAAGAGGAGGGTTTGTTTCATTTTCTCCCCTTCCTTCCTCCCTGCCTCTCTGCCCCTTTCTGAATCCAGACTTGGAGCTCATCAGAGGGAGGGAATTGGGGAAAGACAGAGATCCAGCCACAGAGCAAAGAGAAATCCAATATTCTGAGTAGGTTTGATCACTGTCTAATCTTAAGAAACCCAAGAGCCTCTTGTTTTAATTAAACTCGTTTTAGAGAGTTTTGACTTTGATGAATTGAGAGAAGTGGGTACTAATGTATTCAGCAGGATGTGGAGTAGCACACCGTGAGAGCCGCCAGGGCTCATGGGAGTCATCACCGGAGGGGCCCGGTGAGCCAGTGCAGAGACCAAGAGCAGAGGGCAGCCCCAGAGTTCCAGGGGCTGAGAGGCATCCGGCTTTCCTGGTGGTCCACGGAGCTGTGAGCAGGACCAGCTGCAGAGGCTGCAGGGCCCCAGCTCAAAGGGATTAAGAACTTCAGGATGCCGACTGCAGAGCATTGACCTAATGGGCCCTTCTGAGGGTGTGCCCATTCCCTTGCCCAGCAAAAAGCGATGTTGAGTCTGGACACCTGGCTTCTCTACAGACTCCCAGGAGGTTAACCTGAAACTCTCACCCTCCATTTCCTCACTTACAAAGGGAGTATGAGACTGGCCAGGTGACTTCACAAGCTTCTCAAGACATCAACTGAAGCCTTCGTGCCTTAAAACTTTGTTCCAAACTAGCCACCAGCCCCCTCCCTTTTTCCTGTGGAAGCACACCTTCGTGTTTAGGATGTACTTCAAAGTAATGGAGTTACTTTTGATAGCTAATTTCTTTGCCCTGGAAGACATAAGTTCTACAAATCCCCAGTTCTTACACGCAGATTCTTGAGTATCTTAAAGCTTAAGCAAGTCAGGTTACCTGTTATTCAGAGCATTATAAATCCGCCTGGGCCCTGCTGTCACAAGTGTGCAATTTCCTTTCTCTCTGCTGGCAGGAATGCTCAGAATGGTTGAGATCTGAGTGGTGTGGTATTTAGTGCAGGGAAATTGTAAGAATTAGTAACTGTCAGGGCCCAGAATGAATGATTACAAGCACCTCGTGCTAGGGGTGCCTCATGAATCCTTTCAGCGCTCCAGAATGATGGACTGAATAAATGACAAGTGCTGGGGTGACAAATGAGGGTGGCAGGACTGTTAGCAATTCACGGTGGAGGAGAACAATCTTGTGGGGTGGGGAAAGTGTCCAGTGAGCTTGACCTTGCCACTTCCCCTTCTGCCTTCCTCTGCCCCTCCTCCCTCCTCTTCTCTCCTTTTCTTCCGCCATCTTCAGGCGAGCTGACCTCCATTGTGAAGCCTTATGGAAATTCCTCCTTACTTAGCTGACTGCAGGAAACCCCAGGATCAAGTTTGGCTCCCAGCATTGGCTCAGCTTCAACGCTTCAACACCATGCACAGGGAGACAGTGTCATCTGCAGCTGTCACCCCTTTCACAAGCTTCCCTTTCCTCTCACTGAGGAGTAGTCCTAACAAGGGGTCCCTGCCCCATCCTCCTCTTTGATTTGCATGTCAGGTGTCCACTTTGGCTCCCTGGTTTTGGATATATACAGGCTCCAGAAAGTAGGTGAAGAGAGACGACGCAGAAATATGAATGGTGTCCAGCACATTCCCCTGAACTCAGACCAGTTACAATTCAATATAAACTGGGATTAAGCGGAGCTATACTAAAAGGAAGATCCCGGGCCCAGTCTGGGGCCAGGGGAAGGCTTCTTGGAGGAGACAAGTAAGAGTCAGCCAAACCAAGAAATGCAGGAGGGGCAGCCGGGTAAGGGGAGGAGCCTTTTCAGAGGCTCAGAGGAGGACCCAGCAGGGCCCCAGAGCACCAAGTGGAAGGCTGGGTGTGGCAGGGGGACAGGATTGAGAGCTATCAGGAATCTGTGACCATGGCCATGGTGCAAGAAGCCTACACTGACCCTGTAACCTTTGAACCATGGCAGCATGCCTGAAGTGGGCAGGGTTCAAACAGCTCCTTGTCTAACACGGGTTAAGAGTCAAAGGGGGAAAGCTGCCTCGTCTGTGTTGAGATGGGTTCTTTGTTCTTAGACACACCCAAGCCCGGCCTCCCAACTTCTTCCTGAAACCATCTCACAGGGAAGAGGAATGGGCATGTAGCTGAACCCTCTGGGTGGCCAAACCCTGGTGAAGACTCTGATCTTCCAGGGCCAGGAACAGGGTAATCATCTCATTGAGTAATGATTAACACAATAGGTTAAATAAACATAGGTTATTCGGAGTGATTAAAAACATGGGCCATATCCTGAGTCCTATAGAGAAGGGATCGGCAACAATTTTATGGAAATATTAGATATGTTACTATCCAATTATTTTTGCTATTATGTGACGACTAGTAAATACTTTATTTTTGTACATAATAAATACTTTTGGCCTTGTGGATGAACTACTGTCTGTTTACTATTCTGCCCTCCTGACTCCAGACCAACGCTGCTGTTGTGCCTGGCAGAGTGTTCAAGCAGGTGGGGCTGAAGACAGATAGTGGGCCAGGTCTGGCCAGTGGGCTTCGCCAACCCCTGCCATACAGCGTTGTCAAGAGCCGTTCTACATAATTTTTTTGGGAAAAAAATCATATCACAATTAAATTATGATTGGGGCTGTCTGAGGCCTCAATAGTCCCGCGATGCTGCGATGCTCAAGGGAAAGATTACATCAGCTGAAGAACCAAGTAGTAATGCAAAAAGAAAAAGGTTTCACCTGGGGAGGGACAGATTCCTGATCAGCTCCACTCATCCGACCTATTGTTGTAAGAAGTTTTGCTCATCTCACCATCCTAATCAATTTAAGCTCCTCATCGACCTAAGATCCTCATCAGCATAAGATCCTCATCCTCATAGGATTAGCACCCCCCCAATCATCTGATACTTCCTCTAATTATAAGATCCTTGTCAATTTAGGATAATCACCACCCTCTGAGTCATCTGATACTCCCCATGAACCCAATAAATAGTGTCAAGCTCGGGGTGCCTTTGTCTTTGCTGTCTCGAGCAACACTGATCAGGCCCAAGACCCAGTCTTTTCTCTGAGTCTTGTTTCTTGTCTTTATTCTGATAAGCCTTGTGCTGTTGTAGCTCACAGGAGATGAGGACCCACTGCAGGAGTTCTGGTAATGACCCCTTTCCTGTTCCCTGTAGAGCATGGCATGATAGTGAATTTTCTATATCTTTGTCTTCTGCAAATATCTTTATCTCGAGCTTTGTAAATTATAATTTTACTAGGGATCGAATTTTGAGTTGACACTGTCACCCTTCAGTTGTCTGAGGATGTTATTTCATTATCTTCTGACATCACCTAGAAATCTTCTCTAAGATCAATTGTTCTTCCTTGGTGGGTAAGATGTCTTTATTTTCCTGTAGCTTTATCCTTGATGTTCTGTGTTTTGGTAGTAGAGAGTGACAAGGAAGGGATTGTGTTTTTCTTTTCATTTTATACAATTGTAACTTGGTATAACTTTTCAATTTGAGGATGCCTCCTTCTCCCTTTCATTTATGTAAAACTTCTGACTTCATCACCCAACATTGCTACTCTGCCACTCTCTAGACTCTCAATGCCTATTAGTTGATTTTCACTTAAAATACATATTTACTTTTCTCTTTCTGCTTTACTTGCGTATTGTATATTCTGGGGTTTTTTTTTTACCTTCTCAAGTCTGAGTTTAGGATTAAAAATTCAGGGGTGGTGTTATCAGAAGACATCTTTGGTTTTGGGGGGAGCAAGTTTTCCCATAAAAACACAGACTGTCCATCAACCCACACATCTGCCTAGTTCTCCTTGTGGAGGGTGTGTGTGAGGAATCCAACACACATGCCAGTGTCTCTCACTTTTTCAAAGTATGTGCCGTCTTTTTAATCATTCAACATAATTTCATGATCTAAGTACTATTGTTGTCTATGATAGGTGATCAAGACCCTGAGTGCCAGGAGTAACTTGCCCATAGCTCATAGCACATCATTTTTCTTCACAGTTCCCAGAATGCTCACTTGTGCAGTTACATAATTAGGGAATGCAAATGACAGCAAAGAATTAAGGCTGATGGTAATTTTATGAAGAAGGCATTTTAATTAAAATATTTAGCAGGTAAGCTCTTACATGATTCAAAAGGCAAAGCTACCAAAAAATTCTGTACTCGGAAGTCTTGCCCTCATCTCTGGCATTGCTACGCTGTTTCATTTTTGTCCTTAGATAATCATTTTAATTACGCTCTCATCTACCTGTTTACATTCCATTGTGCAAGTAGGAGCAAACACAAACTCCCAATTTTGCTTCTCATTACTTTCTCACAGAAAAGTTAGCATGTAAATTGTTCTGTTTTTTTTAAACAGCACTTCTGCTACCGAAGGTGTGCTGTTTTTGCACAATCACCAAGTACATGTTTTTTCCACACCAGTTCTCCAACACTACTGGGTGTCTGACAATTCAGTTCAATTCTGGCATCTGCCTGGAGTTAGCTTTAGATATCACAAGTTAAGGTTCCACTCTCGTAAGATGTCCCTCACTTCAGTACTGGCC